ATAACTTTTTATCACCAGGCTAAACCATCACAGCAGAACCCTACTGTGAAGGAATCGACGAAATGTACCGAAAATTTTGTCAGCTGCAGCCAACACTTATCAAAAGAAAGGGTCCGATTCTTTTGCATGACAACGCCCGCCCACATGTTTCACAAATCACTATCCATAAATTGAACGAATTGGGGGTTGAAGTTCTACCACACCCACCATATTCTCCAGACCTTTCACCAACCGACTATCACCTTTTCAAACATTTTTCAGGACTTCCTTGCTGAAAAATACTTCATCAATTAGGACCAGGCAAAAAAGACCTTCGTAGATTTCGTGGATTCTCGACCACCCAGTTTTTTCCTTTTATGGGATTTCTCGACTGCTGGCAAAAGTGTGCTGATTCGAATGGTGCCTGTTTCGATTAAATGACCTCCGATACAGGAGGTGTGTTAAGAAGTTATGATCGTTTAATGTTAAACACTCAAAACCTCGCAGATACTTTCCGGACGAAACTAATACTGTTTCTATCCAAACCGTGGCTAATGAGGTCGCGGGACCAGTCATCAATGACAGGCACGTCTCTGGACCACTGGTATGTATAGCTGCTGTTCACCCTTGTCTGAACTTAAGTCAGTGTCTCACATTCGACTCGAAATTGTCGTAACGAGTAGTTATACCCTGGGTCACGATTATCAAACTCTGTTCGAGAGCACATAATTAGTTGAGGCTTTTGCGCCTTAGTAACCCCTCCCCCTTAGGAAGGTGATACCCCGCATTTGACTGTCGGGCAGACGTGTAGCGACATGTGGAAAAGTGAAGACCGACGGGGAAATACGAGCGGGCGGTGATTATAATACCGCTGAAACAGAAGAATCACGAAAGTCAGCAAGCTGCTCAGGAGAGCAGGAGGCTACGCCTCCCCCCCCCGCCTCTCTTCAAACAACGAGCGATGCCAGCTATACAAATTTTTTTTTCTCAGACAAATACGACCCGCCCTGTCAGGAATCCCCAACGATGATGTGCCCTGCTCGGTTTGCGCGAGATTAATCGTGGCGCACTCTTCTGGTCCAAGCAGGAAGAACACTGAGTCCACCGTTACTGACTTTCTGTGGTTCCATTACAGAATATATACTCGATATTTGATGCAAAATTTCCGCGATGTAATGCTATTCCCTTTCATGGTTCGCGATCCGATTACTTGCATAGCTCAACGCTTTGGATCGCACGAGCCCACGAGTTAAGCAGTCACGCGATTAGATCGCGCTGCAACAGCCGGCTGGTAGGAGCTACGATTGCACCGCGAAGGCCAGTTTGAACGCAGTTTTGATAGGAATGCTGCAGTCGTTATCTAGAGCGATTGGTAGCCATGCAACCAAAAAAGAAACGTTATTCGCTCTAGTTTAGGCGCTGTTGTGATATTCTGGGGCATTTTCTTCATTCCCTCTTAGAGTACCAAATTATAGTAGAAGTCTTGTAATTGTAAAGAAAAGCCTTTGTAAATTCATTAATTGCGACCTAAGTTCCTTCGCCATTTCTTCAATTTTTTTGTTAGGGTACTTCTTGTTAGGAGGTGCGCAGAAACAGTTAAAGCGCTAGGTGGATAAAGATTCCGCCCTAGCCTGGGGCAGGGAGTGGAGTGGGTAGAGGGTGAACGAATACTTTTGTGCAATTTTTTACTCCCCGACCCCTTCACCTGTGCTTAGGCGAAGGTCCTGATTCCTCAAGCTTACAGTCGTTTCACTATATCGTTGCTCTTCATTGACGCGCTGATTTCTTGTCACTAGATGACTCACAACAAACATGGGCGCTGTTTGGCTCAGGTGGGGGAGGGGGGGGGGGTGCACACTTCTATTGGGAAGTGATAGGAACGATACGATAGGCCATTTCGATGCACTAATATTAATTTTCTTTTCTTATGGGGAGGTAATGCGGAGCGATTGACTGCAATCAGGACTTCTATTAGGACTCAGCATCCTATTTTAGAATGTGCAATGTAACTATGGGACCACCAAGACTTGAAGGCGCGCCCCGCTTCCATAAATGGTGAGTTGTGGTACGCAGTTACTAATGACAAGGTGATAGAAACGCAAAAGTGAAAAAAACCAGGAAAAAATCCTTCCGAAATGCCCCATATATAACCCAATGCTGAACCGCGCTTTATCGTGCATAGGGCAATGAAAGGACATGGTCGGCCAAGTCCTCACTTGCTGGTATCAGCTTTTTCCCCCTTATCATCTCACTCTCACCGTTCAAAATAGAGAGAGTTAGTAGCAGATTGGCCGCATTACCATAAAGCCTTTAGGAGTGAAAGATGGGCGTTACGGTGACCAGCCGGCGGAACGGTGGCGTCCCTTCCTCACTCTTCTTGGGCTGCGAACGTAGCATATCCTCCATACTTGCAAAGACAGGAATACCATTCCCAAAAGTCTTTGAACATTAAATGCACACTGATGGTGCCTTCACACGAAGAATTCAAATTGTAATCAACCACCCCTTGTAGCGTTGTAATGAAAAATAAAAAGCACTGTCCATGTTTCACTTACCTTGCAGTCTTGGTGTGATGCATATCGTTTTTGTAAGTCTTCAAGCCTTTCCAAGATTGAGCGACTTTATTAGGCCTAATTATCGTCAAAAAACATTTTGGGAGCTGTTCGACCAAGCACTTAACAGTCCTCGGTAGAGTTTCAACAAAGCAGTGAATCACTCAGCGGATCGATCGAGGGCAGAAAACTCGCTCACCTTGATCTCAGACGTCCTGTAGATGGCTGTGAGATGTGGGGGACCACCCTGTAGCTGTGGCTTAAAGGCAGTTGACACGATAAATGACTAACAATAAGACGAGTCCAAGATGCGTTTCAGGACGAGACTAGCCTGAGCAGGCGTGCGTAGCGCCTCTCTATCAAGCTGCAACATACAGACCCAGACGCCCACCGCGCTTGCCCGCCCACAAATGGACGACCGTACCTGATGCTCGTATTGCTTCATTTGCGAAGTAAAATATGAAGCGAAGGGATTGATATGAAGCGGCCGCGGTGCTGCATGGATATATAATATAAGTACGTACGAGCAGCCGTGTCTACCGTAGCGGTTATTGGCAAGGCGCCCAGGGGCAACTCTGTGGAACTGCTCTTTGAGTCATTAAGAGAATGCTTTCCTTCGCGGATTTTTGACTGTTTCACTCCGTTTTCTTCATCGTCCGTTAGGCTGCGTTTATACTTTGCGCAGCGTAGCGTAGCGCTTCCAGCGTACGCCAGCGGCAGTGCCGAAGAGAGGATGCATATCGATCTAGCTTCACCAGCGTCACCAGCGGCACGCTGGCGTACGCTAGCGTGCGCTAGCGGCACGCTAGCGTACGCCAGCGGCACGCTAGCGCACGCTGGCGTAGCGAGGGCACGGGAAGCATAGCTATCGATCTAGCTTCACCAGCGTTTCTCGAGCGTTTCTCCAGCGGCACCAGCGTTTTGCTAGCGCTTGCAGCGGCAGGGAGTAGAGACTATGTGCCCGTCGAAGACGCAGAAGCGATGTGCATTGTAGAGACTATGTGCCCGTCGAAGACGCAGAAGCGATGTGCATTGTAGAGACTATGTGCCCGTCGAAGACGCAGAAGCGATGTGCATTGTAGAGACTAAGGGCGAGTGAGAGACGCGCAATCGATGTGTTTTGTACCCTCCAGCTCTCCCATAGTCTCTACTCCCCTGCCGCTGCAAACGCTAGCAAAACGCTGGTGAAACGCTGGAGAAACGCTGGCGTACGCTAGCGTCGCTGGTGACGGCTGGGAGCTAGATCGATACATCTTCTCTTCGGCACTGCGCTGGCGGAACGCTGGAAGGCTACCTACGCGCGGCTACGCTACGCTACGCTGCCGCAAAGTATAAACGCAGCCTTACGTGAAATCTTGAACTTTTGTGCATGGTCCTGTTACGAAACCCTGTGACGCAGACGGATAGAGGGCAGCGCATCGAAACGTGCAAAAAACGTATGGCGAGCCAGGAAACGGGATTTTTCAAGGGGAGGGACTCCGGGGTGGGTGAGCTACTTATAGTCGGTGAAAAGCTGGAGTGAGCGAATAGCACCCATATAGCATTTTAGACTGAGTGCCAAATTATCGTGCCACATGCCTTTAATCCGCGGAATAACAATTACTCGTGACCCCTCCCGAAGTCCCGGTAGGTCAAATCTTGCAGGGGTCGAGGAAGGCCGCGAGCTTACCGATTACGGTATACACTCTGGTTTGTTCATTAGTTAATCAACGTGACATATCATATCGTTCGTATCAGTGCCTAAGAGGAATGTGCACAGATGCCGACTCCCCCACTCGAGTGGACGGCACCCCAAACAACTTCATTATCGCTTCAGTATGAAAAAAAAAACCGCCCGATGTGTTGGAAAGAACTAACAGATTATAGTATGCCGACGCCCTAACTTATTTTGGGATTCATAACAACTTGTTTGCTCTCGCATATTTAATTCCATAGTCTGTGATCTGGCAATTTGAATTTATACGCTCAATATTCTGAAAAAATATCTAAGGCGTAGGACTCCTATTCCTGGCCCAAACATTTCCGTACTTTTCGGATGCCATGTACATTCGAATAATTTGAAAGCCGATTCTTTATAACTCGTGTTGTGCAATTGCGGACCCCCTTATGACTGTGAAATTTTGCCATTGATTAGTTCTACATAAAACTTCCTTTCGAGATAGAGATGCCTTGGCATTAATCATAAGTGAACAAATATTTTTTTAGAATAGAGACGATGCTGTAGGCTCCGCCCATTCACTAACAAATGGAGCCGTAATTATTCCATGCTGTGCAAAGGCACCACAGATCAGCTGATAGCGCTCAAGTCTGAGTCATCCCATCAATAGCAGTTGTTTTGTTGTTCATGCTGACTCAAACAGTTTTTACTACTCTTTCTCTACTGAGATCGATTCTATATTGTATAGAGTGTACCACTTCAGATGCAAGAATAAATCAATCTTTACAGATTTTCTTTGGAACGTGGTCTGCATGACGCTCTGTGAGAAAATATGTCTCGTGTGTTTAATGGTCTTCGGATTGTTCTTCATCCTGCTCAGTATTGTAGCTCTCACCCTTATCGGAGGACTTGTGGATAAGACCATGCTTTCGGTTCGTTTAATGGCTGTTGCTTCTTAGGCTCTAATCATTCTTTGTGAATTTGGAGGGTTCCCGGCGACAGTAGAGTGCATGGGGACATTTAGGTGCAAGCATTCGAAGCAACGGAACAGGAAGGCTCCCTGCCCCAGCGTAGAAGAGGAGCTACGGAATGGGTGAAGTGGCCCACCCATGCCGGAGTTTCTTCGCTCTAGGCTCAGGCAGAAGCTATATTCCTATGGCTCGCAATAGTTCCTTTGCCGTTTCCAGGCCAGTTGGTGCTCAGAAAGGAATAAAAAACGAAGTGTCGACTGACTGACGCCGTTTGGGCGCGTTAAGTTTCAACTGCTGGCTCATTTATGAAGTGCCTAGATCACCAAATCCGCTGAAAACGTGTATAGAGACTTATTTAACATCCTGATTACTCTTTACGCTGGCGCTAATGGAGGACACAACAATTATCTGCGCTCTGCTAAGGCTGAGCCCAGAAGATAATCGTAGTGTCCTCTCTTGGCGCCAGCGCCAAGAATGAATGTCATATTCGTAAGCAGGATGTTAAATAACCCCTGTATATAGGTTTTAACGATCTAGGCACTTCGTAAATGAGCTCGCAGCCGAAACTGAGCGCGTCCAAACTGCATCATTTGAGTTCCGAAAGTGTTCAGACGTACTATTGCAC